TATTTTTATCCATTATGCGAAATATATAATTATTTTATTTATAAAAACTTATCTTAATACATTTTTACATTTCTACATAATATTTGCTATCATAAAGAATTTTAATTATTTTGATTATATTATTATTTTGCTTTTAGTAATTAATAAATAAAATTTTATAGTTAATTAATTACAAATAATTAGAAATACATTGAATAAAATCTATGAAATTGCTATTATATTATATACAATACAAATAACATTAAATCCCTATTCATTAACACATTCAATAAATTAATTGAAATTTTTTCAAGACTTTAAAAAAGTTGCATAAAAAATATTGGTTTTATTAAAAGGTTTTTATAAAACAATTTTTCAATAGGCTTTCCAACAATTAATTCGTTTGATTGACAGGTTTTGCACACAATTACCGATTAGTGAAATACTAAACATAACAAAAATCTTCACAAATATCAAGTGAAGTGTAAAATATATAAATGTTTTTTGATATACTAGTCGTTAAATACTTATCGAGAAAACTTTTTGCACACTTGAAAACCGAGTGTTTCGGTTAAAAATAAAAACTATTTATTTTTGTAGTGAAAAAAAGTTATTTCAGTTTTTTAGGGAGAAATCAAATCACAATTTGCTAACCGATTAAGGCATCAAACGATTGATAATTGTTTTGTGTGTTAAGGACATCAAACACTCTTAACATTGTATTTTCAATTTGAAAACTCATTTCATGTTTTATTTTGTGCTAATATTTGGTGAGATGTCTCGCAACCCAGTTATTGATTGCTAAATATGTTTTATTTTTGCTATAATAAACTCAATATCAGTAATTTCAACCCTTTTATAACTATTTTCTAAAGTTTTATAAGTTATCATTGTATCTAATAATTCTTGTAACAATTGCTTATATTTTATACAACAAATATTATTACCATATTTATATAATTTTCAATATATTTTTTTAAATCATGTAATTATAAAATCTGTTTTACATTTAATTATAACTTAATTATAATAGTGAAATATAATATACTTTATAATTTTACTTTTTACTACCCATGATAGACAGACAAATTTGAGATAATTGTGAGAAAACATTATCATTACCAACATTAAGAGATTATTTACGTTTAGATTATGCTTACAAATAATTATTAATTTTATTCATTTTTAATTTAATTATAGAGAATTTAAAAAAAATATCAAAAACAAATTATTTTGATCATAAAAATTAAACATAACATATTTACATGAGAATGAACTATATTTACAACTAAATTAACAAACAAATGACTTTATTTATTTTTATTTCACAATCATTATAAATTTAAATAAAAATCTAATTTAAATAAATACATTAAATAAATTAAATTATTAATGATTTTCTTATAATTACTTCAATAGTCATATCGAGAGTCAAGTCAAACGAGTTTCAATGCCCGGAAAAGTTCGGTCACTTCGCGGACTCGAGCGACTGTTCCAGGTACTTTGTGTGCGACCATGGTAGGACCTTGGTGCAACAGTGCGATGATGGCCTACTGTACAACACATATCTCAAAACGTGTGATTGGCCGCGAAATGTACAGTGCGATAGAGGGGGTAAACGGGGTATAAACCATAATCCCATGACATCTAACACATAATTCACAGAATATTCTTAACATTTTGCTAATTATTTTGTTATTCTGTTCAGTGAATACCCGCCGGAATCCGGATTTACAGAAAAACACAAATTATCGACAGTTTGACGATTCAAATCACTTGAATGGCGAACCAAACAGAGATAATGAAGACCTGAACGACGATAACAGAGCGCCGCCTAATCCCCAGGCGCTGGACCTGAAGTCCAATTTCCCTAAATGGCATCAAAACTTCAGTCCCCTAACAGACAGTCGACCCCAACCACGGGGACCAACATCTAAACCACAAGCGCCGGCATCGAAACCCGTACCCAATGCCCGACCACTGGCCTCACCGCCTACAACTACAACCAACACAGACAGCCCTCCCAGTGAGCGCCGGGAACCCAACTTTTTCGAGTACGACGACGTGCCCGACTACTACGAGTACGAGGAGGACATACGTCCCGTTCCCAAGCGTAACGTCCGGAAGCCCGTCCAGGAGGAGGACCCCAGCGTTGGCGTCGATAAGTCAAAGGCGCCGTCCGTTAAGCGCATGGGTTGGCTGCCGGGGGACTCGGATTCAAATGAGATGAATGACTATCACTGGTCTCCCGATGATGGGGTCGAGTACTCCAAAGACAAGCCTAACATACCGGACGAGGCGTTCATCAAAATGAAGGACTTCCGCAACCCGGAGAAGCAGCTGAGAGATGATAACACCCCTAATGAGGGCCCGGAGCCCAAGGATGATGACTACGACGACTACTACGAGGACGACGAGGAGCCGGAAGGAGAGGCCGAACACCCGCCCAGTGATGATGACCACCACCACCACCACCACGACGACGATGATCACCACCACCATCACGATGAGGAACAGGAGGAACCGGCAACTGAGGCACCCAATCAGGCGCAGCCTAACAGCCCTAATAATAAGGTGGTCTATGACGACGACGCCGAGGTTAGGACGCAGCCTAAGGTGCCACCGCCCGGCGCTCGACCCCCGCCCAGAGCTCGGGTACCCGTCCCGCCAGCGGGTAATTATTTGCGCACAAAACCGGCGGTCGCCAGAGCGCCGGTAGCCTCGCCGCCCACCACTGCACACAATCAGTACAACTCGCGGGAGCCATACATACGAAATAGTCCGCAGTTCGCGCGCACACCAGCACAGGTCGACCCCTCCCGGTCCGACCCCTCAGGCTTTGACAAAGAAATAGGTAATAATTTTGATGAATACAAAAATCTCCGCAATTTGTATGAAAATTATTTTACAAATGATTATTAATAGTAAATATAACTAAAAAATGTTTTAATGTTAGCTAATATAAGTTCCTTGTATATTTAGTCATAGACTTAAACACTAAATTATATTGAATACTAAAATAATGTTTAATGTGTGTCTAAACGTTATATATATTTTTTGATTAATTAACTAAAAACTAAACTAAAAAATTATTAACAAATTTACTAAAACCATTTATTAATCAATTAATAAAATAATTTTTAACGCAAATGTTTTCCAAACAAATAATATTTTGCATGAAAAACAATTTCTTAAACCAAACACAACCCGAAATCCCTTTTAATTGCATCTCTAGGGCCGAGAGCTGCCGTCGCACACAATAAGCCGGTGCCCAAGGCCTACATACCTAATACCGGCGCCTATTTGACTAAAAAGATTAAACCGATTATCAAAGCTAAAATACATTACAAAAATAACAACAGCCCGTACCTGAAGCCGGTGCTCGACAGCGATAGCAAGCGTATCGATAGCACCGGTAGCACCAGTAGTCCCGACGCTAACAATATTAATGACCACAAGAGGGGAACTCTGGTTCAGTCGATGCCGAGAAATCCCGTTAAGAAAAAGATTGTAATCAAAAAGTTTGTTAGCAATAAACATAAGCCAAATAAGGCGCAGGGCGTGCAGACACTGAGCTCCGAGTCGGACAGCCCGTCCATATACCAGGTGCTGAACGACTACAGGCAACAAATGCCGGACACTATACTCAAGCAGAAAACGATGGCCCATGAGTTCCGCGACTCTATTATCGATAACTACATGAATAACGATAAACCAAATTATATACTCAATGACCACGACTTTGACGGCAAGACATTGAATGTGAAGGTTATGGGTGAGGAGGGGGACAGGGATGGCGAGCTGGTACGCGAGTTTGACCAGGACTTTGAGGGACATACGGCTAAGGGGCCGAGTAGTAGTGAGAGACATAATGGTAATGATAGGCAGAATAGTAATAGCGATAGGAGTTCTGTGCATATGTTAGCAAATAATACAAATGTTAATCACGTGGACAAGAAGTTAGTGGACAAGTATCCCGTTTTGAATACCGATGCCATTGTTAAGCACCAGAGAGAGTATGCGGTCAATGCTATCACACAAACGCCAATAACTGTTACTAAAACGCCGTCAGGTATGACATTAACACCGATACTAATAACTAACACGAATTAACTAATTAATTAAATATGTTTAACTATCTTTATTATTTTATATTTTAATTATTTTTATCACTTTATTTATTAATAAAGTATAATGCTAATTATAAAACATGCTAATCCTAACTATTTTTAATTATAAATTTTATTATTACAGTATTACTTTAAAAGTTGCAAACTGTAATTGTTTAATAGATCTATAATATAAATTCATAAAATAAGTTTGTCATATTTAAAACTGGACGATTTGACACAATTCAGACTTTAATCTTGTTATAAATTTTTATAAAATTATTAATTAATATAACCTAGTATAATATTATTATTTACAGATAACTCCTAATTTATTGAATAATAGATATTTACTATTATTAAACTATTCTTATTATAAATCATAATAAACATGAAATAAATATTACAAATATTTTTATTATACAATTAACAGACAATAAGTGGTATAAAAATGTGACAAATAATCGGCACAAGATTGTAATCACAGACTATAGACCCCCACCTAAACGGACGCCACAGACCATGTTTGGGTGGAAACAGTCGGTCGTGTTTGAGCCCCCGGTGACCACCACCACCACAATCCGGCCCTTTATAATGCCGACCCAAATCACCACCACTACAGCCAAACCCCGCATACGTATAAAAGCGGCAAAAGTGAGCCAACCGGCGGTCAAACCCACCAAACCAGTAAAACCCCCGAAAGCACCGGCACCTGAATGGTATCAAAACATCAAATACGATGCAAAACAGTCTGTCCGGACAGCCAGTTATGCGAAGGCAGACAAATGCAGTCCAATGTACTGTAAGCTTCCGGACTGCCGGTGCGGTGGCACCGATATACCCGGTAATATTCGTAGCAAGGACTTTTTAAAAACCATTTGTTTAAACGCTTTCAATTGTAACCTACAGGTGCTCTTCACGTGAAACAAACCCCTCAGATAATAATGTTGACGTTTGACGACTCCGTCAATGATCTCAATTGGGATATCTATGACGAGCTGTTCAACAGCGGTAGGAATAACCCGAACGGCTGTCCCATTCTGGCCACATATTACGTGTCCCACGAGTGGACGGACTACTCGCAGGTGCAGACACTATACGCCAAGGGACACGAAATGGCATCCCATTCCGTCACGTATGTCATAATTATCTCATTATTTTGATATTAAAATAGACAACAAAATTTAATTATACAATAAGTTTAGATAACATAAAAAATTATTTAAGTTAATATACAAATTCATAACAATATTATGTCTAGCGATAACATAAGTAACAGAATCTGTTAAATAGATTGTCTAGACTTAAGATCTAAAGTTTGTACAAAACAATCAGATTTAGGGAATATATTTAAACAGGATTCTGTAGAAAATAGTTATTTATATTTGTTATAAAGCTCTTAGAAAATAAATTTTACTATTTTGCAAAATATTTATTATCAAATTTTGTTTACAAACGACTACTTATACTATATATAATAGCCTAAGGAATATGAAAGTAGTAAATGGATTGGGGATTTATTTACATAAAGTACAGTATAGTATGGCATAACTACACAAAGGGTTTTACACAAATACGGATTTACTCAAAAGTATATCCGATAAGTAAACAAAAAGTTAAATTTATGATTAAAATATAGTGCATTTCATAACCTAATTTAAGTGCACTCATTTTATAATCCAATTGCTAGACATAAACGTCATATTTATTCGGTATACCAGACAAAAACAAACAAGCAAACTATTGTTATTATACTGTACACACAATACGGAATATTCTACTACAGAATATATACAGAATTAGATTAAAACAAAAAACCTTTCACATAAAAAATATTTACAATTTTCTGTTAAAAAATAAAACAATTAACTAGTTTACAATGAAAACTATTAACTTATTTTGTTTAAAACTATTAATTATTACAAACAATTATTTGACAATTAAAACGATTAACTGATCGCAAAACCAGTAACTATTTTCTGACTAAGATTTCAATGAAAACAATTGACTATTTTTGTTGACAAAAACTTTTAGCCATAGTTTCGGTGAGAAATTCTCGAAAGACTTGTGGATGAAAGAGGTGGCGGGGATGCGAGAGATACTCAGACTGTACGCCGGGGTCAAGGAGGAGGACGTGCGGGGTATGAGAGCGCCGTTCCTACAGACGGGCGGCAACACCATGTTTGAGATGCTCTATGAGGCCAACTTCACGTACGACTCGTCCCTACCCGTGTACGACATCAACCCGCCCTACTATCCATACACCATGGACTACGCCATCAATCACGAGTGTATGATCACCCCGTGCCCTACAAAGTCGTTCCCAGGTATGCTTTTCATCACATGCCGTTTACCCATACATTACATAATCAATGGATTTATTTTATTATGATTTGCATTTCAAATGTGTTTTTATGTGCCAAACATTTCTGGTATTGATTTTTGTTTCACATTTAACGCTATAATCAAATAAATTGATTGCGAACTGCATTACAATTATGAACTTATATTCAGTACTGTATTACCATAAGTCACACACATTTCAACACATTTTCTTACTATTGATTATTTCATCGCCTTTTTATGGGTTAATAGAAAAATGAAACTATTTTTACATTAAAAAATAAGTAATATTCATGAGTAAGAAAGCACACTGAATATACAGTATACAAATTATATAATCATAAAATATTTTTTAAACAAAACAATCAGGTCATAGCACAGCATACTATCTAACATTAAATACCTGTGCGCTTATCCACCTATTGATATAATTAATATATAAAAACCAAAACTAAATTAAATACCCAAATTACCAACCTAATCACAAACAATATCTAAACACCTAAACCCTTATCAATACTTATAATCAAATACCTTATCAATGCATAGGCTTATGGGAGGTAGGAATGGTGATGTGGGAGGACATGCGAAACGGCCGGTGCTCGATGGCCGACGCCTGTTTCAACCCCAGCACCGAACAGGGGGTCTACGAAATGGTCAAAAAGAACTTCGACCGCCACTACACCACCAATAGGTCGCCGTTTGGCATATACTTCCACTCGCGATGGTTCCTAACCGACATCAACCGCAAGGGGTTCATCCGATTCATGGATGAGATCCTCGGTATGGATGACGTGTTCTTTGTGACCAATTGGCAGATGATTCAGTGGATGCGAGACCCGCAACCCCTGTCCACAATCAAACAGTTCAGGCCCTGGATGTGCGGCGATAATGATAGGCCCCCGGAGTGCCATCAGCCCAACCAATGTAAGGCCCGGTTCCGCAATGAGGTCCGTGTCATGAAGACCTGCCAGCCCTGTCCTAAACAGTATCCATGGCGTGATAATAACGGACTTAGAAATAGGGCTTAAATTAGGGCTTAGTTTTTGAAATTTGTTTTATTGTGTATTAAGAGGAAAATGATTGTAATTTTTGTTTTAATATAAGTTTTTTTCGTTGTTTTAAAATCAACCGCAAGTTTAGAAAAGTATATACTTTTGGTTTGAAAAATTTTACCACATTTTTATTGATTTGTAATTTGTGTTTTATTATATCACTTTTGATTGACATGTGTGTTACTGGGATTTCTGATTTTAAACTTGTCATGATTAGATTTTTGAGAAATTAAAACAATAAGTTTTTCTATAATTAGATACCTATTGATACATGAATTAATGTGCTTTTTAAATGTCAATCATTTGACTATTATATTATAGTTTTTAATGTAATTTATCGCAAACACGACACAGAATTGATGCCAAAACCCTCACATTTACAATGAATTTAGTTTATAAAACATTATCTCTAAATAACTACTATTTAAATAATATAATTATTATATTTATATATCGACGACTATATGAGTGATTATTTTGTATGAATTAAATGCTGTATTTATTAGCAATTATATTTTATGCGAGTTTATCGTTTGAAATAAAATTTTTTATAATGTATATTCATTTAATATTATAGACACTGTTTTTATCTCATGTGACTATTAGTAACAAATTATTTTTTTATTATATAAACAGAATTCAAAACACAGACAATAATTAAAATAAAAAATTGATTAGATTTTCTATATCATAATAGCTGTTATTATCAATGTCATTTTCTGCCAGTTTATATAGTATTATAACTACTTATAAATGTTTAATAATTTTGTAGCACAATATTATTGTCTGGGTGCAAACTCTCGAAATCATTTCATTTGTTATATTTTGTAATAAAATTTTTTATGAAATAAAATAAATATTAATAAAAAATACCATTTTAAAAGCATTGCTAAAATATATAGCGAGTTATTTTATTTATAAATAAAAGTGCATTTAAGTTCATATAAAAGTACTAAAACACATTATTATGACAGCACATTTTAGACATAATTACGGATTAAAGTATTAATATAAATAAAACAAATTTATTATAAATAAATGAAAAAGCGTTTACTTTAGTATACATTATATAACTATTAGTGAATAGATATTAACGCCCAAAATGTTGAAGACTTTTCTCATTCATAACTTATATAAATATTATAAAATATATAAGTTATATAACAGGGCTCTCAAGGCTTACATGCAAAGCACATATCTATGGAAACTAAAGATTATTATCATATATAATATAACTTATATTTATTAATACACTTATATATTATACGAGTTATAGTGGAGTAGCGGCTGTACAGTACATACAACTTATTAATTATTTAAAGCATTGGATACTAAAAATATGAGAGATAAAAATGATAGCCTTTTTCATGTCTTATAAGTTAACATGAATGGGCACAACCTATTGGCACGGTTAGCCCTCATAAAATACTAGTTTAGTGTATGGTTTGGTGTGAATATATAGTCAACCAATTGGTAAGACATTCGCGAGACATACACGAGAAAGACAAAATCGTTTTCAACTTCTCAAGCCTTCAAAAAGTTGTCAATTGTAAGTGAAATTGAAAATATTTTTATTATTTGTAGCATTTTTTTCCTTCATTTTTGTGTCGACTATATTTTTATGGCAATTGTGTTTAGAAATTGTTTTTTATGTACATTTAGAGTGAAACTGTTGCCTAAAAATTGTACTGTATCATTTATTTATTTGCTGTAACATTTAAATGATAAATAACTTATAGTTATTTTATTTAAGTTGATTTAAATTCATTTCAATAAAGTGTACTGTACATTTCAATATACTGTACCAGTATATTTGTGTGAATCAATATCTTTATGCAATTTTGTGTAAAAAAATAAATTTTAAAAATTCCTTTTTGTGTTAAATTTTAAGTTTTATTTTTATATCAAATTTATATAAAAACCTTGGATTTGTGTTTAAATTTTTTGGTTCACAAATTGCTGCTCTCTCTCTCTCTCTCTCTCTTTCTCTCTCTCTCTCTCTCCAACTCTATTAACTCTATTGTCATAATTGGAGGAAATGAGAGAAAATATTGTGATTATATTTTTGGTTGAAATTCAATATACAATACAAAAACTCAGGCCATTTCACTCTAACACATAATATATAAAACAAAAAAAAAGTTTACATAAATTGACAGCAAGAAAAAATTCAAATAATTTCCTAATTTTCAATACATGTATGCGTTGGCAATGTGTTACGAAATATAAAACCTATTAAACTCACAAAATAAAGTAAATATTGCATTATTTTCTATGAGAGCTTTTAGTGTATTATAAATTAAACGAAAAAATTTCATTTCAGTTAAACATTTCATATGTTATGTCAAAACAGGTCTCTCTCTCTCTCTCAACAGTAAAAACTAAACTCATTTAATATTCATTCAAATCGTATAATAATTGAATAAATAATATATTAAAATCTGGTTACCTCTCAACCATAGATTGTGTGCAACTCATGTGACAACAAAAACTACCCAAACATTTGGATACAAAACTTCACTACAAGTGGAAGTCCTAATCAACAAACACTACAACAGAGTATAAGAAAAATATATGAAATATAAACATCAGAAAAAGTGTTGATAACTACCAGTGAAGTGGTGTTACACAAGACTATTACACATATTGACCACAAATAAGACAATTTGGTGTCCAATCATGAGGAATGAAGTGGCGGAAGAGTGTGAGTGCTATCGACTCATACAGCTATTGGTGATCATCCAGCAGTTAGTCAGCGTGTATTTGGTTGGCAACTATCCATTGAAAGGCAGTACCGGTGCTGTGAAGACATTTGTATGGATATCAACTCTTATATTCTCCAGCATTGGAGTCATCGGTTCCATCGGCGCCCACACCTACGACGACAGCCTACTGACTGTGTTTATGATCGCATTGATCGCCTATGCGCTCATTCAGACAGTGATATGCCATCGATTGGTGCGAACGGAGGCCACGATCAGTGACTATCATTGCGTCCTATG